TTGAAAATGTTCCCCTCTCTCTCTGTGTGTCTCTCATGAATAAATAAATAAATAAAATCTTAAAAAAAGAAAATAAAATGTTCCCTCATCTTCTATTTTCTGAAAGAAATTGTGTAAAAGTTGGTGGAGGGTTTTTCTTCTTTAAGTGTTTGGTAGAATTAGACAGTGAAACTTCTGATTCTGGAGATTTTGCACTTGGAAATTTTAAACTACAAATTCAATTTATTTAATTGTATTTGTAATTCAGCTTATCTATTTCATCTTGGATATATTTTCATAGCTTGCAGGTTTTTTTTAGAATTTGTTCATTCCATTTAGGTTGCCAAATACATGACCGTGTGGCTATCCATAGTATTCTCTTCTCATCTCTTTAAGATATGCAAAGTCTGTAGTGTTATTATTTATTTCATTCCTGATTTTGTAATTTGTGTCCTCTCTTTTTTTCTTGATCAGTGTTGCTCAGGGTTTATCAAGCTTATTGATCTTTTCAAAGATCCAGCTTTTGGTGTTATTAATTTTTTATTGTTTTCCTGTATTCAGTATAATGAATATAATCATTTTTTGTACTTTATCTTTATTATTTTCTTCTTCTTCTTGCTAAAGTGGAAATTTAGATTGCTAATTTGAGATGTTTTCCTTTTTTAATATAAGCACTTAATACTTTATATTTCCCCCTAAGCACAACTTTGGGCTCTCCTGCAAATTTTGATAGGTTGCATTTTCCTTCAGTTCAAAATACTATTTAATTTCCCTCGAGACTTCCTGTTTTAGAGAGAGATTATCTAGAAATGTGCTAATTTCCAAGTGTTTTGAGATTTTTCCCTATTACTTTCTGTTATTAATTTCTAGTTTAAATCCATTATAGAAAATGTATTTTGTATAATTATTTTATTTTTTGTAATGTTTGCTATATGACTTAGGATATAGTCTATCATGGAAAATATTCCATGTGTACATCAAAATAATACATATTCTGCTGTTATTGGGTGTTCTGCTATAATCGTCAAATAGATGCAGAAATTATCAATGAAATGGTATTGTTTAGTTCTCTGTCCTTAAGTTTTTGTTTACTTGTTTTGTTACTTGTTTGTTACTTGTTTATTGTTACTCAATACCTGAGAGGAGAATATTAAAGCCTCCAGGTACAAGTGTGGATTTATCTATTTTTTCTTTTGGTTGTCAGTTTTTACTTTGTGTATTTTGAATCTCTGTTGTTAGGTGCGTACACATTTAAGATTGTTACATCTTTTTAGTAAATTTATGCTTTTATTCATCATTGATATTGTCTTTATCCCAGTAATTTTCTTTGCTCTGAAGTCCACTTAAGTTGATATTTATACAGGAAATCCAACTTTCCTTTAATTCTGATCATATAATATATTTATATCTAACTTTTGAGATATGTTTATTGTAGAGGGAATATAGTTGGGCCATTATTTAAAAAATGTATTCTAATAACCTTGGCCTTTTAGTAGCTATATTTATACATTTTAGATTTAATATAATTATTGATATGTTTAGATTTATGTCTACCATTTTATTACTTGCTTTCTGTTTGCTTCTCAGTTTTTTGTTCCTTTGTTTTCCTTTTCCTTCCCTCTTTTGGGTTAAACAATTTCATTCTTCTATTTTCATTTAAATTTGTTTTTTAATGAGTGGGAAATATCAGAAAGGGAGACAGAACATGAGAGACTCCTAACTCTGGGAAACGAACTAGGGGTGGTAGAAAGGGAGGTGGGCGGGGGGGGGGGTTGGTGACTGGGTGACGGGCACTGAGGGGGGCACTTGATGGGATGAGGGTTATCTACCTAACCCTATCAGAAAATGTAATTTTTTGCTTTCAGTGGATTGTGTCCTGAACATTTTAAATATTCTGTTATGCAACTTTGGATCTTGTTGAAATCCTATGTAGAATGCTATTTTTATTTAACAAGCACTTGACCCAGTTGGATTCACGCCCCAAATTCTAACCAGCCTTGTGGTTTCAATGTCAGTTCTATTTCACGGTCTTTCAGTTCTACTTAGACTTATTCCATATATACACCTTTCAGTGGTCAGTCTGGAACTCTGGAAATGGCCTATTCTATAGTTCAATTCTCAAAATTTATGGTAGTCTATCTGGGGCCAGATTTGTGTATATACGGCATAGGAGTGAGACCAGGGGTTTGCAAGCAACCTCATGGGTTTGCTTTCCTGGACTCCTTTCTGTCTGCAATCCCCAGGATACTTTCTGGTTCTAAAGGCCTCTTAACTTTTTTTTTTTTTTTTTTTTTTTTTTTTTTTTTTTTTTTGCTAGAGTGTTGGTGTTTTTGTACCTACTCTGCAGTGCACTTCCCCAACTGCTTCTACGTCTATACCTAAATGGTAAAAAGACAGAGAGTCCCAAAAAGGACAATCAAAAGAGGTTTGCCACACTCTCTAGGGACCACAGCTTCTTGTATTAAAGTGAACAGTTCCCCTTCCACAGAGATTCAGGCTCCTAAGGGCCCTCTTGCCTCAGCTTTTGCAGAATTACATAGGGGCCAGAAAGTAAAAGAACCTAGAAAGGAAAAAAAATAGGAGGGTGTTAGGAAACCCCTTTCCCAGTCTTTAAGGTAAATGAGAGGGCTTCTTCTGGAATCCTCTGTCATTACTAACACCTACTTCTGAATTTCAGACTGTGTTGAGTCCAAGACAAGGTATATCAGAGGAAAATAAAATCATGAAACTTTGAATTCTTGTCCTCTCCAACCATTCTGCTCTGATTTACCTTCAAAATCTTCAAACTGATTCTCTAAGCGTTTATTCAGATTTTATAGCTGCAATGAGTGTGAGAGAGAGTATACTTACTCCTTCTTACCTGGAATTGTGATCTGGAAATAATATAGATAGAAAATGTAGCTATTAAAACCCAGAAGACACCAGGATGGTGTGAAATTTGCCTGAGATGTCATCTAGAATTAGTAAGGAGTACTCTCCAGTGTGTATTAGAGGTAGAGTGACCATCATCCAAACTAAGACACATTTTCAGAGTGAGATTTATAGTTGGACAACAGGTGTAAATCAGAAACTGGAATATATGGTCACCATATATAGAAAATGGAGTGGGAAATGTAAAGACTTTTCTTATTGTAGTCCACTGAGTTCAACTGTTTGGTTACCATTAGTTTCTTATATACAGAAAAATTTGTTTCAGCTACCCAGTTTGTTTGGATTGATTTGCATGTAAGAAATGTAAATCAACCCTTGTTCCAAATGCTAATTTGTCGTCTTCTATGTATCTAATAACCTGGAAAAAGTATAAAGTATATTCCATAAATGTCAGCTTAGAGAGTCCCCCCCGCCCTGCCTCTTTTTTTTGAGTAGGTACACACCTGAGGCCGAGTTTGAATTTCTGTGAAGCTAAGAACAAAACTCTGGACCCCTGGACAGATCAGTTTTAGCAAAATTTATTTTAGGATAAAATAAACCTGGGTAAACTGGCCCAAAAGAGGTTTCTGACTCTTAGATCTGAGAGAGAAGCTGGCAGGAAAACCAGGGGTTCTGGCCATCACCATGGCACAAGGACACAATGACAGTGTGGATTCTTCCCCACTGAGACCCTACAATGAGCCTTCCCACAAGAAACTTCCTCCAGGAATAATTTATACCTTTTAACTCATCTTTAACTTCATCACTGAAATTCCCAACAAGGATGTTGCTTGGTGCCAAAGCCACAGTGGTTTTTATGATGTGGGAGCCTCTGTGGAAAAAGAGTTCAGAGCATTTCATACAGGCTCCAAGCGGTGGCTAGATGATGCTCGATGACTTCTGTCCATCCTGAACTGGGATCACGCTCATATGGTGAATGTGACACATTACAGTCAAATGAGTCCAGAAAGTTGCTTGTCTTATTGCTCAAATGCATCGTTCCACTCAGACAGGGATGACAGAGTGTGAAGATTTTACATTCCTATGTGACCAGAACATTAACTACAAATTGAACTCTCCTAAGGAGGACACATGAGAATGGGATCCATCTGGTCTATCAGAAACTATGACTGGGTGCTCTAGCATAGCACCCTGTCACTTGGGACTCAGCTGGAATCAGTAGGTCAGGAAGCACGTGCAAGGAGTGCCAGCCTCGCTGGGCAAAGGGCTCAGACCAGAAAGTTCTGTTCAAGCTCCATTCTTGCTGCCTTTTGACCAATGTATGTATTTACTTCCTGAACTCTTAATCTGGGCTGCTAACTCCTGCCACTGCCTTTCTACTTTATAAGTAAATACTCGGCCATGCCTTGTTTCCTCATTGGCCTGATCATTTTTTTAAAAGATTTTATTTGTTTATTCATGAGAGACAGAGAGAGAGAGAGAGGCAGAGACACAGGCAGAGGGAGAAGCGGGCTCCCTGTGGGGATCCTGCTGCAGGACTCGATTCCAGGACCCCGGGATCATGACCTGAACCAAAGGCAGATGCTCATCCTCTGAGCCACCCAGGCGCCCCAGGCCTGATCATTTTGACCTGCTTGTACCTACTTCCCATGGTCCAGGGTACGGTTGTGTAGTTCACGCTCTGCCCAATGGCCAAGGGGATAAGGAGGGGCCGAAGTTAGCCCTACATTGCTCCCCTAGCCTTGTGTCTGGCACGGGGCTGTGCCTCAACCCCCCCAGCCCTGGAAGGGCTCCTTCCTCTATTTCAACTGCTCAGAGGGGGCACTTCCCTCAGGGACAGAGTAGAGACTGATGGAGGCCCTGTCTGCCCCTGGTTCCCCTGTGGTTTCTGCCTTTCGCACTTGTTTTCTGTACTCCAGAGTTAATGGGTGAACATGGATGGAATAAAACTAGGTGTTTCTTTCTTTCTGAGGAGCTTTAGGCAAAGTTTAAATCATTCACTTCTAACAAAGTAATATTTATTTGATTGCAAATATATATATATATATATACATATATAAATTTATACGTATAATAAATAACAGACATGAGAGTAGAGCAACAGAACAAAAGTGGCTGTATCTGCCCATTCTGCTCAGACCACTTGGAAAGTCTCTGGGGCACTGTGTGCTGAACGCATGCAAGCATCTAGAGAATTTACTCTCCCTCTGTCCACAGAATATCAGAGGCTCTAACCAGAGGTTCCTCATCATTCTGGGGCCTGTCAGACTTGCTCAGTGTCGACAAAGCCCTCCCCATCTTGTATCAGCTGGATCCGTGCTGTGTGTTCTTTCCACTGACATCTCTACTCCCCAGGGATGGGAAGGAGGTGGCTCAGGGTCTGTCCGCTTGACCATTCTCTAGGCTGGGAGCTCCTCCCAGTGGTTTCTGTTTTACTGAGTCATTTCCAGTGAAAAACTTTGGAGATACTTCCGAGATGGTTCCACCTGAGTCCTTTAGAGTTTTTCACTGGCATGTGGTAGCGCATCTGAGTCCAGAACCGGGAATTGGGAGGGACTGATTTTAAGTTTCTCCAAGTGACTGTGGGCAAAACCCGGAGAGCTTTCTTCACGAGATGAGGTAGAGACTCTGGCTCTTGGAAGGAGCAGAACTTAATTAGAATTAGTTTCAGTGTTTTATCATCCAAGGCAAGATTCACTGCTGCTTGTAGTTCAAAGATACTGGGTCCATTAACATAGTTGGGGCTCAAGATAAATATTCCTCTTCTACTTTTCTTAATAATGTTCACAATATCCTCTGCATACACTGGAAATAAAGAATTCAATTAACTGTTATTGCTAAACCTGGGGTCTTAATAACCCCGAATGTCCCAGATCGACCCAGAGAGTTCCTTGCACTTGTAGGGAAGGAGGGAAGGAAGCATGGTTTACTATGTCACTTTTGCAGCATCAACTCTACTGACAGTTGAAGACAGACTCTAGTGTCCAGTGATTCTCAACTTTCCATTCCTCTCTTTGTGTTCTCTGTCCTCAAGCTGTCAATTCCTTTAGGAGCAAAGCTAGTTGGCATAGTTAGGAATAACAGGGGGACACAGGATGTCGCAGGCTCCATAGTGGGGTGCCTGGGGCAGAGGAAGGGGAGAACTGAACGAGATCTGTACCTCTGAGGAGTGGCCAGGGTTGTGCCCCACCTGACCCAATGCTGAGGGTTGTGGCCAGCAGAGTCCTACAAAGCCAGGGGACCATCTGTTTCGAATGACAGAGATAATTTCCTGTAGAGGAACCAGGAGCTATATCTTTGATTGGGAAGGCCTGCTACATGTTCTGCAACACATGTCCTTCTGTGCCGTGGCCCAACATAGTCTAAGCTCATGAAACTTTCCAGAAGATGTGTATCCCAACAGAAGGAATGACACCAAAGCCCACAGAGCACTTTTACTCAACTTTTCTCTTTGTTCTATATCTCCTCTTGGCACCCAGGACCTACCTCCTCCTGGGGCCACATCTCTGTCGAGCAAACACAAGTTGTATCCATACTTATTTTCCAGAACTTCAGGGAACAGATTCAGAGCCAAGTATTCCTCACTTAAAGATGAAGTGGCCTCATTCTCAAAGGAGCTCCATTTCGCATAGGATATGAAAGCATCAAATACCTTTTTGTCTGAGGAAGAGAAACGATTAAAAAAACAGTCAACCATTTACATGTTTCTCACTATCGTGATGTATCTACATATGCTTGCATCCTATGATGTATGGGCAAGAATTAAGCGTTGAGCTCCTTATTGAACTGATTTAACAATAAAACACAGCAGCTGTGTCCATTTTAAAATCACACTGCTGAGTAGTATCGACTGTCTAACCAGATTCGAATTCTAATTTATGACACACTGCTGCCTTTTCACTGAGTTCAGATCAAACAGCTGTGGCTTCTGTGATTAAATCACATGTACACAGGGATGAGGGAGGTGGGGGGTGAATTCCTCTGAGTTTTCTTTGCACCGTGCTGTTGCTATCTCATGAGTTACACATCCTAAAGGAGTCTGTTCCATCAAAGCATGGTAATATCCAGCAAGCAAAGCACTGCCAGGACCCAGCAACTTGCACAGGAGACAGCTGACAGCACATGTACCTATATTAGAAATCCTCCTGTGTAAAATGATGTAATAATAACTCCCCGGTGGACTGTTTTCCAGGGTTGGGGGATATAATGTATATAAAGTGCTTGGTGTCTGGCTCACAGCAGGCACAAGATAAATATCTTTTTCCCCTGCTTTCTAGATGGGAAATCATATTTATAAAATTCGTTTCAGGATATTTGCAAAGTCTCACATGCTTCCTTCCGTTGAGTGGATTATTACAAATGCACATCGAGTACTGGGATGTGTTATGTAGCTAACTAACCAAGAAAGGTAGAAAATCTCAAAAGTTAACTTATGGGCTTTGGAATCTGGACATGCCTGGTTCAGATTCCAGTCCTCTGCACCATGGCGGGCAAATAGCAGTGTTACAAGATAGCAAACAATAGCCCAGGTGGCTGATGCAATTACAGCATACTTGCTTAACATGGACATAAGGAGAGGCCTTAGTGGATGAAAATGCCAGCAATAGAAAAAGAAGGAGAGGGGAGGTCCAGGAGATGAGAAAAGGGGGATGCCAAAAAACCGAGGCCCAGGGGGCTCATCTGCAAAGCTCCTCATTGCCCAGGTGGGAAGGAGGAGGAGGCTCCTGGGCCATGGCGGGCATGGAAGGTCTGTGTGGTTTAAATGTGTGACACACCCCCTCATCACCTCCATTCCTTCCAAATCCTGTGAAACTCCAGCGAGCTTGGGTTTTTCTCTAACTGGAAGCATTACATTTCTTTGGTAATAAAATTAGCGGGAATGGGAGTATTAGGTCCTTCTCAACTCCGACAGTCTATGTATGTCTAAGATTGTGGATATTCCACATTAATGTCCAAGGAAACAGACATTTTGCTGTAAAACTTTAGATTGGCCACAGAGGGTGCTAAATCTCCATACTTTAAAACCAGGCACTGCCTCCTCATCAGCCACTGTGTAAAGTAAAAAGGGAAAGTACAGATTTAAAAATTTCATGATTAACTCTTCTGTACAAGCTCTAGAATCTTAAGACAAGCAGCATTTTAGTAAAAATATACATATATGTCATCCAGGGGAATGAAGAAGACATTGGTTAAATAGCTTGCTCAATTCAAAAAAGCTAAAAAGCTAATTTAAGGAAATAAACCAAAAACCCAAAAACACAAAAAACCCAACACTCTTAGCTTCAGGATTTCTTGCATGAATTCTCAATAATTAGTCTAAAGAAAGGTATGATTGATACATCTTTACCTGTCCTCTTCCTGGAAATCTGACAGCTCCTCACTGTGTTCCTGGTGTGGGGCAAGCCCTGGTGTAGGAAGTGATTTTCCCCAGAATCCAGCAAAAGGGATCCTGCCCTTTCCAAGCAAGAGAATCACTCACTAAAACTGCAAACCTTCTAATCTTAGAGACCTCCAGGGCTAGGAAAACATGCGAACAGCTCTTCTATTCTAAAGAAGCAAACACTAATCAGTATGATCCTGTCTCCTGTGGAAGTGGACAGATAATTCCATTTATTGTAATAGTACTTGGGTTTTATAGAGTTTCACACTCTTCGAACATTGACACCATCTTCAAACCCCTCATTTTATACATGAGGCTAACTGAGGTAATAGCTAATGGGGGCTCTAAGCCAAACCACCTGAGTCCAAATCCTCGATTCTAACACCATCCTGCAGTCCAATTTTGGGCACAAGACTTCAAGTCCCTCTGCCTGGCTTGCAGGATTGCTGTGACAGTTCACCTAGCTAATACACCTGACTTGCATGCCCTCAGCACTCAAGAGGTAATAATAGTTGGCACCATCTACCGAGTGTTTACTACATGCTGTTCTCAATGATTGATATGTCTTAACTCAATGAGTGCTCATAGCATTCATTGTAATTGTGATTACAATCCCACTTCAAAGGAGAGGAAGCAAAGGCACAGAGATGTCAGGTCATTTGTCATATTGCATTAGGTTGGTGAGCAGAGAGATTATTTTCAAGCCCAACATGCTCTATCTACCATAGTACCATTGGTCAGCAAGATTCCAGTAAGTGAACCAAAAAGCAGTTGTTTCTCCACCTGCTCCCAGCTCTCCCAGGTGTGAAGCCACCACATCTGGAAGAAGGTCTCAAAGCCAGAGGGCATGACTTTCTCCATTGGGGAACATCCATTTCTTGAGCTTCTCCCTCTAAGCCAGTTCTGAGTGGAAAAGCCAGAGGCAAGTTGAGGTCACCTTACCCCCGAGTGTCTCATCCTTGCTCTGGTAGGTTCGGTACAGCAGGACTATTTCAATCCAGTACATGTAGAGCAGAGCACCTGCCGTCAGCATGCCTGCCAGAGTCATGACGGTGCCAAGTAAGATGTATATGAACACCACTGGGGGAAACATGGTAGGCATGAGCAAATACAGAGACAGCTTTCCTGGGACAAGAGCACATTCCGGCCAATGCTGTGGGCTGGCCCAGCACCTTTTCTGACTCTATTATTTTATCAAAATCACTGCTCTTGGAAGCTTTCTTTCCTCTTGAATCTGGAAACACATGCAATTACATCTTGGGGCAACTGTCTTACAATGAATTGGGGATAATTCACGGGAATGGGCTATTCCTGATTGAGGTGGCCAGGGAAACTGGTCATGGCCACTCTCATTATTTTCCCCCCATAAACCTCCACACCACCCATTTGGATCCCTCTCATTGCATATTAGAAATTATTTTCATGCACTATCATCACTACTAAAGTCTAAACTTCCTGAGGCCAGGAGCTACGTGTGGCTTGGTTTCACACCCTCCGTGGCACCTAACACACGAGTCCTTCCACACACCTCTGCTGATGGGAGCCCCATTACAGAGCAGCCACTATAGCCAAGCACAGATTCTGTCTAACATAAGCCTCACCAGGATTCAAAACTTGCTTGTCTTTGGAATCATTTATTAATTGAATGAATGAATGACATCAACTTCATCATTGAGTATCTTCTTAAAGAAATTTCAAACCTTTTCTTTACCAGGCATTTCCACTGCAGTTTTAAAAGGCTGTGATCTGTGATATACACATACCACCCGGAGCAGTGAGCAAGATGACTCTTCTCTCGGTTCTCCAATACCCAACCATCACATTCTCTGGATGGAGAAGCAAGGAAAAGAAAACCCTAAAAGGGAGCTAGGTCCTAACACAATACCTGTTGCACAGGACATGCCCTTTAGGTATTTGTAGAATGAATAAATGAGTAAGTGAATGAATGAATGAATGAATGAATGAATGAATGACAGGTTTTTCCAACACAGCCTCGACATACAGGGTCTTAGTTAAGAGGACCAGTTCTGGATAACTGATATGAAACTTACTAGTGATGTGTCCCTGGTCATAGTATTAAATGGCTTCATATGAGCAAAATGCATAGTGTCCAGCATCCAGAAAATATTAATTACCATCATCACTGTCACAAATCTCTAGGAAAATTCCCCTTCTCTCAGATAAAAGCAGTTGTGTGCATGGTGTGGCAACCTTCCAGGCTTACCTCCTTTCTTTTCTTTCAGTTGGATGGACTGGGTAGTGTTCCCGATGGAGTTCTGGGCAAAGCAAATAAACTTCTTGCGAAGATCCCTCTGAGTAACTTCTTTCAAGTGGATAACGCGCTCATAGACTTCATCCTTTATGGTGTGCTTAACTCTAGGTCAGAAGGATGAATACCCTACTCATTCAGTAGCATAAACTGACCAACTCTTGCTGTATTTGGAATTCATACTAGCAGCCAACAGTTTCGGCTTTCAGAAGAGCTATGGGATCAAATAGTAGCAGGAAGTGCCAAAAGAGCAGAATATTGACCATCTTGTGATGGGAGCTCATTTTTGATTATTGAATCTGCTGGGCATCATTTTACTCACTTAATCAGAATTTAATTTAGTGTGGGCCTCATCTGACCTCCATTACTCTAAGCACTTCCCTAGAAAACAGGCAATAATGATAATTTAAGAATAATATTGAATACTGACTCATTTCCACAAAGGGCTTATCACGTATCTGTGCTCACTCTTTTGAGCACTAAATGTGGACAATCAAGTCTCCTTCATGCCTCACTTCACTGGAGCTCCCATGAGGTAAGAATATGATCATCCTAAATTAACCAGCAACACAGACCAGGCACAAGAGGTGGGTGACAGCCTAAGGTCACTCTGCTTGGAAGTGGCACCCTGAGTCCTGGACCTAGGTCATTCTGCCCCACTCAGCAAGTTGTAAGAGTCAGTATTTATTCACAATATGAGTTTCTAAGGTTGCTGATTTATAGTCTGTCTTTACATTGAGGAATATTGTTTATATGGATGGTGTTTTTAGGCTGTGTTGCTTGGAGCCTACAATATCAACTCATATTCACTGAATGCTTCCTACTGGTCAGGAACTGTGATGAGCGTATCACCTCTACTGGAGCAGCTCCCTCAAGGGACCTTGTGAAGTAGACGTAAGCATCCATAGATTGCATGTGGTTGGATGGAGTCTTGCAGGGGTCAAGGGTCAAATTGCCAATAGGTGGGAAATAGATTCAAATTCAAGGGCTTGTGTGAGTTAGAAGTCCTTGCTGGATTTTATTACTGTCATCAAAATTTGGTCTTTATTTTTTGCAGTGACATGTACTTTTCAAAATGACACTACACTTGTTCATTGAAATTGTTTTAAAAATAAGAAGCAAGTGCTTAATACATAGACTGTTACCTTGGAGCACATTCTAGAAAAACAAGGGACTCTATTTTTTAGCGATTGTCCTGAAAGATTGGATCCAAACCCTCCCTTAATCCTTCCAGGGACCAGCATCTAGCTTCGTGAGGCATTGGATAGCTCTGAATAGCTGGAGTTTTCCTTTCTATTGAGCCGAACTATCTTCCCAGTAAATTCTGTCCACTAATGGGGGTCCTGAGCTCTAGAGGGTGACAAACTAAGTCTAGTTTCCATAAAACATAATGGCTTCCAAGGATGTCAAGAAAGCTATCCCATGTCTGCATCTCCTTTTCCATTTGGATTGCTTCGACTATTCCTCACTTCTCATAGTTTTGGCCAGACGCATTATTGTGCGCTTTCCTCTGGATACATCCCGGACTGTTCACATGTGGATCCCTGAACTCACCAGGGCTCTCAATGGAGGGTACTGGGGAAAATGAGGAGGAGGGCATCCTTCCTTCCCCATGGGTTGGACGTGCTGCTTCTATTCAGGCTGCGTGGGTCGCTACCTCTGTCTGCTTGTCAGCTTGATGTTTCAAGCGGCCGCATCTAACTGTTGCTATAAACCGAACTTCACAACTTAAATATTTCATAATACGGCCTGGTCAGAAACTGCTGTTTAACATGAACTTGCCCTTTGTTATTTCCGCGCTTTTCTAGTCACCACTAGGTGGCGCGAGTGGCCACTCCGTCAGCTGCACCTGTTGGCTCACCTCTGGGGGGCCGTTCTCGAGGTTTCCAAAGGTGAAAGCATTTAGGGTGGGCTGCAGAGAATAACAGTCTGCTGATTTCCTTCTTACCTGATCGTCTCGGGTGTTGGGACTTCACTCTCCTGGTCAGAATCTTTAATGTACCATTTCACTACAGGGTTAAAGTCCCTTTGGTGGCCAAATCGTGCCCTGCAGTTAAGAGTTAAAGGCTTTCCTAAAAATGAAGGCGACACAGAAAACAGGAAGGAAGTCCGTGAGAACGCTTTGTCCGGTGCAGGAGGAAGACTCCAACCACAGACCGCTCATTACTGCAATCACGTTGGCAGGTAAAAGAGACTGTCAAAAATAACCCAACATCTACCTGACTCTCATTTGGAAACAAATTAGACCAAGGCTGTTCGTCTCCAAAGGGCAATACTTATATCTCAAACCTGCCACTATATAGGCATAGCACTAAGAATTCTGATGGGGCTGAAGGATAGACACCAGCAAGATGAGGAGTCCCCTCAGTCACTGACTCCACAAAATGAGGAGTCACTGGTGATGGTGACTCACTCAACGCTGATGTTGAGTACAAGGTGCGTCATAAAGAACATTTTACTGCTCACCAATATTTGCACGTTCAAATAACATTGTCAGGTTACTGTAATGTAGTTTAAAGAAGGAATTGTTTAGATATTCAGCAGTTTCTTGAGCAAAGCACTACAGTTGGGAAGCATATTATTACACTTATCCTCTTTCTACTCATTTTTCCCATAAGGGGTATCCAGATACACTGCCTCAAACTCAAATTTTCACCTTGAAACGGTTAAAGACTCCATTCAGAAATCATCTGTGCGCCTTAATACTGTCCCCCTACCCTGTCATACTTTCAAATTCACTGAAACCATACGTGGCTCAGCTATTTTTGAATCATTAATTGTGTTTCTTTCCTCCTTCCTTGCATCCTTGTGATGCCTCTGGTTTTGCAGTCTATTTCCAGAATCAGGACACGCTAATACCGCCATCTAGCGGTATTCAACCATAGTCTCTATTTTTACATTTCTGTAATTATAAATATTTTAGCCTTTAAAAGAGCATTTATTTCACTGGAACAACCAGCATTTGATTTTAAATAGAGCAGTTCTCATGTTACTGTGTGAGAAAGTGTAGATGTTATTGAGGTTGATAAAATACAAGGGGACCAGAGGAAAATCACTTTGCCCCTCTACCCACAAGAAGACCCACTTAGGAATATGAGTTACTTGAGGAGGAGATACAGTGTTCCTCCATAATTGTCTTAAAGGCCACACCAAATACCATGTTTGCGAGGATTCATGCTATTCAGATTGGTAATTTGGTTAAACTTACAGACTTAACCAATGGACCTAATACATAAAACACCTGTTTCTGGGATGAGTAAGAAAGAATCTAAAATCTGCTGATCATGTCCAATCACTAGTCACCTAACATACAGTTTCCTACATTTCTCAGTGCATCCAGATGAGGCCAGATTTCTTTTGTCTATTTACATATTTAAAACTTGAAACTTAGAAAGAATAAGTAACTCTATCAGGTCACAAAGGTAGCCAGTGGCTCAACCACGATTCACACTTAATTCTATTTGACTTAAAATCCCAAGGCTCTTTGGGGCACCTGGGTGGTTCAGTGGTTGAGCATCTGCCTTTGGCTCGGGTTGTGATCCTGGAGTCCTGGGATGGAGTCCCACATCCGGCTCCCTGTGGGGAGCCTGCTTCTCCCTCTGCCCTATGTCTCTCTCATAAATAATTTTTTTTAAAAAAACCCCAAGGCTCTTTTCCTTATATCACACTTAGAGCTGCTCCCAGAAGCACAGGTCATTCAACGGAGATAATACAATCCACCTTACCAAGTTCTACTTCCAGCACATCCTTGATGGGATCCAGAATATCTGGTTTGAGAGTAGTGTCTTTCACTAAAAGATGAAAATAGAAATTACAATTTGCACTGGGAAATCTGAAGGCCTGCTTGCTGAAGGTGTGTGCATCAAGTGGCACTTTGATCTAAATGCTTTGCAGATCCCTCTTCAACTTTGATTCGGATTCTATTAAGGCTGGGAACTTAGATTTCCTTGTGAGAAATGAGCATCCCCAAATGACCATGACATCAGGTCACAGGTGCTAACGAAATACCAGTAAATCCTGGTAAATCCTCATCCACCAGGGTGTGCTTTTACTTCCACACCAGCCCTGCTCAACCATCGCAGACCTGAGCCCCCGTTCCCGTCTTCTCCTACAAGATTATTTTTGGTACCATCTGACTTCTCCAGAAGAAGAACGCACCTGAGAAAATGCTCACATCACCTAGACTGGAGTCCACCTCCTCCATCACTAAGTACATGGTTTATTTCAAAATAAAGTTGAGTCCGGAACTCCATTACTCATTTATCCCTCAGCTTCCTGCCACAAACTGCCAAACTGGGGCTTTGTGGTCAAACTCTTCCTATGTCCCATCTCTTGATAAGGGAAAATTCATCACCTCTGCTCTGGGAATGGTCCACTTACTTCTTGGGGACCTCCTTCCCTCAAATACTCCATCTCTCCCCCTGTATATTTGCCTCTTTCTCCTCTCTCACCTGCCCCATCTTCCCATTGGCTTCTTCCCATTGGTATTTATCCATGCTCAGTCTCTCCATCTTAAAACAGAGAAAAATCCCTGCACCCCATTTCCCTGTGGCACGCATTCTCCTTCCTTCCCAGGCAGATCCTTGAAACAGTGCTCTATGCTCATCTCCATTCTCTCACTTCTTGTGGAGTTGGATTCCATCACTCCACAGAAACTGCTTTGACTAAAGTCCCCAGTGACCTTCTGGCACCTCAATCCACTGGGCACAACTGAGTTTTTTCTTCGGCTTTATTTCTCAGCTGCGTTGGACACTGCTGAGCACTGTCTCTGGCAACCCTCTCATCCTTTGGTTCCCTGCTTCTCTGCTCTCTAGTTCACCTTCTGCCTCTCTGCTCGTTTCCAGGGTGTGTGTCTGGGGGCTCTGCTTTCTGTGCTTCTCGTGAATATCAGTTCTCTCCCTTTTCTCTGCTGTGGTGCTGTTCACTCTTTAGGCCTCTTCCCTACAAAAGGTCTTGAACCTTGAAACGATCTCTCTCTCCTATGTCATCAATTTCACTTCCTCCCACTGGCACCCACTGGCTTATGTAAAGAATGACTGCCATCTGCACAAACCCAATGACCAGTTCTCAAACATCACCACTGAAGCAGAGTGTCACTCCCTCTGCCCCGACATTCTTTAGTCACTTGCCCTGGGACAGTTTTCCTCTCTTCTCACACCCCTGCTCCACCTCCTCTGGGGATTCCCTCCTTCCTTCCGACCTCTGCAAGTATTGCAATGTTCCAGGCCTCAGTTCCAGGCCTTCTTTCTATACTAACTCCCTAGGTGACCTCACTCAGTCTCTTTGCTTTAGATAATCATGTTGACCACCCTCAAATTTCATCTCCAGCCCTAACACCTCCAGACTGGTTTATCCAAATTCTTCCTTGCCATTGGGATTTGGATCACTGAAAGTCCTTTCAAACCTAATCCTTGGGGCATCTGGGTAGCTCCATGGTTGAGCATCTGCCTTTGGCTCGGGTCGTGATCTTGGAGTCCTGGGATCAAGTCCCACATAGGGATACCCACAGGGAGCCTGCTTCTCCCTCTGCCTATGTCTCTGCCTCTCTCTCTCATGATAAATAAAATCTTTAAAAACACTAAACCTTAATTTCTTTTTAGATCCTCTTCTTTTTCAGCCTTTTCTTGCTTCATGAATTGGTGTCACCGTTTACCAACTTAACTAAGCCACAAAACAAAAGCATTCTTCATTTCTCTCTTTACACATTAAATCCATCATCATGTTCTGTTGACGCACAAATAGCCATTTCTTATCACCTTTGCTAAGTCTGTGCAGTGAGCAATCAGGAGCATCTTTTTAGAATGTGCATCAAACCTGCTGCTCCCCCATTTGTGCCCTAGGTCAGCTCTTACCTATGCAATGCAATGCTACCCTCCATCAGTACCTAACAGAATGTCTATCTAGTTGCTCAACCTAAAACCCAGCTCTTTTCTCCTGGATCCCACCTCTTCCCTCTTCCTCACTGCCAATTCCCAAATCTTTTCAGATGTACCTCCTCTGTATTTCTTTTTTTTTTTAATTAAAAAAATTTTTTTTTTTATTTATGATAGCCACACATTGAGAGAGAGAGAGAGAGAGGCAGAGACACAGGCAGAGGGAGAAGCAGGCTCCATGCACCGGGAGCCCAACATGGGATTTGATCCCGGGTCTCCAGGATCGCGCCCTGGGCCAAAGGCAGGCGCTAAACCGCTGCGCCACCCAGGGATCCCTTCCTCTGTATTTCTTGAGTCTGTCTGCTTCAGTGCATTCCCACTGCAACTCCTGGTTCAGGCCACCATCAGTCATTGCTCTCTCCATTCTTGCTCCCCCCAAACCCATTTTATACACAGCAGATGGAGATAGATCTATCTCAAAGGCAAATCTATTCATGATGCTCTCCTGCTTAGAACCCTCAAAAGCTCCCCATTGCTCCTTAAATGAAGTTCAAACTCACTAAAACAGTGTGATGTCAGTCTTGTTTCCAGACACTCACTCTCAGTGGACCTTCTTTTTCTTCCCAGACTGTGTGTGCTCTCTCATCTCCGGGACATTGACTATGCTGTTCCCTCTGCCTGGAACGGCATCTTGACCATCTTCATTGCTCTGGTCTGGGCTTGCCCCTCAGTTCTCACTTGGACATGGTGGGTCCAGGTGTGGGTTTGGTGGACCTCCCATATGCCCCACTGCTTTCTCTCCACTCATTACAATGCACTGGGATAGCCTGTGTGCCCCACAAAGTGGGAAGTTCTGAGCGGTCACAGAAAATGTCCAGATACTCATGCTTACGGCCTTAGCACCAAGCCCAGTGCCTGATACATATTAGATATTCAACAAATATTTGTGTAAAAAATGAATATGTGAAAGAATGAAGGAGTGAATGCGGAAGACAGGAATGCTTGGTTGAAAGGATGCAACAGATATTGTAAGGCATACCTTGGAAGAAAGAGAAAACCACATTCTGCCCTTGAAAATTTGATGGGCTGAGTTATCATGCCTGGAGTGAAGAACAATCACACATCCCTTGGAGGGAGCAAATGGTACAAGTGGGGTACTTGCATTCTAACTTCTCCCCCAAGGAGCAATATAATATAAATGTAAATTACTGACATCCAGGAAGTAGGTAGAAGTGGTTAACTTGGTCTCAGTGTGTGTGTGTATGTGTGTTGTGTTTGTTGTTTAAAGATTTCATTCATTTATTCATGAGAGACACAGAGAGAGAGGCCGAGACATAGGCAGAGGGAGAAGTGGGCTTCCCAAAGGAAGCCTGATGTGGGACTCGATCCCAGGATCCCAGGATCATGCCCTGAGCCAAAGGCAGATACTCAACCTCTGAGCCACCCAGGCATCCCGGCCTCAGCATGTTTAATGTAATTTGTACATTACACTAAAAGAAGAGGAGGTAAAAATAATCAATGTATTTACTATGAGCTGAGTCAACCATTCTGTAGCTATTTAATACAGAGCATGAATGACTGACTCAGTTGTGTTTTGGCAAAAGCCATGCTTAAATTAATTGCATTATACAATTTATTCATGCCGGCACTTGTAAATCTAGTAAGAATGACCCAGTGGAAAGACTAGGCAGGCCACGGAAGAATAAACCTAACAGACCAACAAACGTATAACAAGATATCAAACTTCATGGAAATGTAAATTGGGATTTAAAAAGGGAGAGAAGGGGCAGCCCAGGTGGCTCAGCAGTTTAGCACTGCCTTTGGTTCAGGGCATGATCCTGGAGACTGAGGATTGAATCCCACATCGGGCTTCTTGCGTGGAGCCTGCTTCTCCCTTTGCCTGTGTCTCTGCCTCTCTCTCTCTCTCTCTCCCTCTCTTTCTCTCATGAATAAATAAATAAAATCTTAAAAAAAATAAAAAGGGAGAGAGAGAGAGAGATCTCACTTCACATCAATCAAAAAGTGTGACAACACCAAACATTATTTGGGAATAATGGGAATCTGTTCCTTGCTGAGGGTGGTATAAATTAACAAATTGATACCTTAGAATAATAACATATATTTTAAACACAAAACATATTTTATAACATAAAACAATATTCTATTTTTTTAATGCCTACCTACATTTTTAGAAAAGCATAAAGATATAAATGGAAGAATGTATACAAGATTAGACTACAGCTGGGAAGGGAGGAAGCAGGAAAGGATAAAAGCATAGGTCTCAAGCTGTCCCTGCAATGTTTTGTTTCTTTACAGAAAAAGCAAGATTTTAAACATGTGGAAAAACTTGAACATGTATTAAAGCTGGCAATAGGTTCATAGTGTCACTTACTGCTGTGTATGAAGTATTTAACATTATTCTTTAAACTTATTACAAAAACAAGCCAGGGACTGTCAATGCAGGAAAAACCCAACTTGTGACAATTTGAATATGATCCAAAAGTAGGCCTTCTCTGGGGGCTGGAATCTAGGTTAATGGGAAAATTAATGTTTTCCCACATTTAAGGCTTCACATGACTACCAGTATATGATTATCTTTTTATTTTCCCCAAAAAGGAAACCATTACTAAGCCAAAGGAAGGTAACTTTAATTGGGTAATGGGGCTTCAAATCCCAGATCTTGAAATGAAAATCTCACTTACCTATGGTTCTCACTTGAAAAACAGCTCTGACTATCCATGAACTTGTATTATCCGACTGAGTGTAATCACATACATATGTGCCCTGGTTGGTTTCATAAACTTCATTCACTACAATTGGGTTGCTCCTTTCTTTAGGGAGTAGTTTTCCGTTCTAATCCAGGGGACAAGAAAAATAAATAACTTTCCTTAACCAGAGATTTGTTATTAATATTCGTCACAACAACAGAAAAACTTCACAAATGAGAGCATCACCCATGCTATGAAGAGCTTCTGCTCAAAAACTGTATTTGTAAGATTCGCATTTGTTCATGAGAGGCGTTTTCAGATACAATTACATTATCTGTTAAGATCGAGGCACCAAATCTGACTAACCCACAAAGAGTTATTTAGCCTAGAATTTCTCAAAGCATGACTCAGGCCTCTGAGAACATTATAGAAAACTCATTTCCTTTAGTAGCTGATACCTCAATGAATTAAAAAAAAATGTGTATTTACATTTGTGGAAATTGACATAATTTCTTGTGTAATGAGGCTAAGATAAAGTTTCTTCTCTAAATAAATTTAACTCAAAAAAGGTGAAATTTGAATTTAAAATATTAAGTTAATAACTAAACAGGAATGCCTAGATATGACAAAGAATGACCGATGAGTGACAAACAATGAGCTCATGGTGGACCCAAACTAAGGTGAGAGCTAAACTGCAATTAGGAACATTTCTCTCTCTTACTTAGCATATCCATCAGGGATACTCTTCTAAGGTCTAACGTTCTCCCCCAGCTGAACTTGCCATTCTTTCCTGCTCTCATTCCCTGCTACTGCCCCTCCACCCACTTGCCACTCCCTAAATAACCATATTCTTTCTCCATCTATGTGTGTGTACATCTCTCCCACTACTTCCCCCAACTGGGTCGGCTGCAGCTCAGTCTTTAACTCCAACTCAGGAGGTAATGCTCTCAGACCTCTATGATTGCACATAGCCTTCTGATCATAATTTATGTGCACGGTTACCTCTTCCTCTATCGTTGTTGAGACAGCCTTTGTGCCAAGACACATCACTGCTCCTGGACACACTGGCAGGAATAAACAGAAGTCCCTCCAATCAGAGACTGCAGAGTCATGACTGCTTTCTAGGATTGAGAGAGTGTTCAGTCGAAGAAGGCAGACCCCTGAGCAGTAAGCCAGAGTATGATGCACTTGGGCGGCCTTGTCTCTGTTCACAGGAAGCAGGGATGCTCCCTCTGGGCTAGTCAGAGCCTTGAGGAATATGTGAGAATCACTCCATTGAAGCTGAGTGCCATCTTAGAAACCTTTGAAATGGAGCTTCTATATGGGAAATAAGGCCAAAGGGAAGAAGCTGATGCATGTAGATGGATTGGGTCTTTGTGTCTCTAGTACACAGCAGACAGGCCAGCAACAGGGAGCTCTTTGTAAATGATGAATGAATAAAGTATGTGTAATTGAAAGGTTTTGAAGCATAAGAGCCATGTAATCACCTTTGTATCACTAGGGGATAGGACATAGTTGGGGCTAAATAAATATTTGTTAAATGGTGAAGTATCACTGTACCAATAATTCTGTAGCCCCTGACTTCCATGTAGCACATGGCCTTCCAATCTTCAACAAATAGCCCCCAGAGTATATGACTCTTACCACAGCAGTCAAAAACAAAGAGATAAGCAAAAAACAAAACAAAACAAAAAATCACAAAATAAGTACTTCTTATCTATACAGATTAAAAAATCCTTTCTCATGGACTATTTCATATGATTCACTCAAAGGATCCCCTGACCTGGATTGCACAGACTCTATGAGAAAACTGAGGTTCTGGAGTTTGTGTGTGGCTCTCTATCCCAGAGCCAGTAACTGAGAATGAATTTTTGGGGAGGCGGGGACTTATGTATTTTATTTCAAAGATTCTCTGGTCACAGGTTTTCCCCAGGGAAATTCTGAGAATTTGCAGTTTCTTACCAGATAAAACATGGAGATTTTTGCCCTTAGTCCTACCCCCCAACCCCTTCCTCCTTTTTTTAGTTTTAATTTATTGGTTAAATTGATGGTGGCAATCCGTGAGATGTGTCAAAGAGTATACAGATGTATGTGTGTATATTGTATGTATGCTAACATATTACTGAAGGACACATTTTAATAAAGATTTCTGTCATAATTAAAAAAAAATCTGAGAGGACTGAGCATCCATGTGAATTTTTCTAACTCTTGAGTTTCACGTTCTTGTTGAGGAATTTCCCTTCCACTTCACCTGCTAACTCAGAGGAACAGGGATTCCCCTACTCCAAGTCTCTGGTGTGGTTGTTGTGGCCCAAGAAGGGACTTCCAGTAGGTTGGCAAGGAACAGGTCAGAGAGCAGCAATGGCAGGCCGGAAGTAAAAGAAAACAAAGAAGTGAGGCAGACCAGGTTAAATATCAATCAGCTGATCTCAGGGGTCAAGGACCTCTTAAAAGGATGGGTCAGGGCATGGGGTAAAAGTCAGAAATAAAACTCTAGAGAATACAAGAATCACATCCGAAGAGCAGAAATTGGAGCAGAGATGTGTCATGAATCACACAAGGAAGTGATGGGCTGCAGAGTTGTGGGCTGAGATCTCAGCTGTGCCACAGGGGGGATGGGTCAAATCAAAATTGCCCTGATTTTTTTTTTTTTCATAAAAAGCTAAGTATGAGGGTGCCTGGGTGGCTCAGTCAAGGGTCTGCCTTGGGCGCAGGTCGTGATCCCAGTATCCTAGGATCAAGCTCTGCATTGGTCTCCTTGCTCAGTGAGGAGTCTGCTTCTCTCTCTTCCTCTGCCCCTTCCTCCCTGCTCCTGTGCTCTCTTGTTGTGTCTCTTTCTCTCTCTCAAATAAATAAATAAAATTTAAAAAAATGTAAAAAAGTAAACGTGACTTCATATGTATTATTAAGACTTAATAAGATGGAACTAAAAGGAAACATTGAAGAAAACAGATAAGGGAGAGGTAATTTGTGTCAAGAACGATGGGAGTCCCACTCCAGTAAGATGATAGCAAATGATTTCAGTAGGAAGGGAGGTGCTGATGGGGCTGTTTTGCTCAGCTGTGCCACACTCTTGAACAAAATACAGAAGGAGGAACATCTCAGGGTGAACCTGTATGACTTGTTTCAGTAAGTTCTAGACACAAGCGAAGCTTGCAGAAACAAGGAAGACAGTAAAACAGGACTTCTAAAGGAATGTGAAAAGCAAGAAGAGCACAGAAAATGTGTTCTAGGAGGAGCAGTTACTGAAATATTTCCAGCCAGTATCATCAAGCTCTAACACTATTGTCCAGTGCAGCCCCTCTCGGGAGTACAATACACACGGTGCTATTCTGTGGGGGTGGTGCTCCCCAGCATTGGACAACACAGTGGAGTTCCTACTGGGGCTTTTGCTACCTAGTCTGGGAGGACTCCCCATATGGACATCTCGAGCCCTACCCTCCCTGATGGACTTGACATTTCCATGACTGTTTAATGACTCATTATGTCCAGATCTGCATACCTGACCTCTTCTCATTCCTCATTGAATTAATGTCTACTTTCTCAACTTGCTAATTGTTGTGAATATATTTGAGCCAGAAAGACCCAAAACATGAGTCATCTCTTTTATGTCCCCCTGAAGTATTTTACCTTGTATTTTATTCTTGAAAATATCACTAGCGTCCACCAACTTCTTTCTGTTCCCACTGCTCATTCCCTGGATCAGGATTCACACTCATAAAGTTCAATCACATCAGCAGGGACCCCCAATAACCATATCACGTAACCAATGTACAACTGTTGTGTTCAGCTCTAACCACACCTCTCAGGAACACTCTGGTCTTACCATGCTGAGCCACTCACCATTCACACGATGTGTCCCTCATGCTTCTGCTTCCATTGCCCATCTACCTTTTCCTGCACTTCAGTCTCTTGCCCTATCCATCAACTGACAACATTGTACTTTTACATAAATTCTGTACTAATAATTATCTTCTAAGTGGAAAAGGGTACATTATGAAAAGTATCATGAAAAGCTAGACGTTCATCTCTAGCCAAAGTCTTGAATGGATTATTGGACAAATGGCTTATGAGCCCTTAAAAAAGTGGGTTAATATCAGCCAGCTTGCACTCACTACCAACATTCATGCCAGTTTTGTAATTTTCTCCCATGATAAAATGAAGAGACAAGAGTCTCAGAGGAATATAGAAATATAATAGATGTTCTGGCTTCACTGTAGTGAGTCATTTGGAAAATACTCTGATAATGTCTTTGTTAAATAAAAATAGATACATACAGGCTGAATGAGTCAACATTTAGGTGACTTTTTAAAGTTAATTGAACAGTAATACTTCCCAAGTTGTGGATTAAGGGACTGTATATAACTAAAAGGATCATGCTAGAGTTAATAGATGAGTTGACTGGCTCAGTACCAGGCCATTCAAAATTTTTGCTAAGAATATCATGTCTGCATCTTATCTACAAGTCACACAAATCTGAGAATGATGGCTAACATGGTGGATTTCAAAATCAAAATGCCAACCTCTTGATATGTTGAATGATGAGCTTAGACCATCAAATCAAAATTTAATAGGAATACATGTAAAGTCATGAACATGGATTACAGTTCTACTCTGTTAGCACAGCTGAATTGGCCTGACTGCAGTTCTTGTGAAAAAGAAAAAAAAACAAACCCTACCTGCCAACTAAGAATGAATCAACCACATAATGGACCTGTCCCAAAGCTAATGCAATCATAGACCACATTAATACACTGTGTAGAACAAAGAAAAAATAGTTTCTCTGTTTTCCCTATTAGTTAGGCAACATGTGGGTTATAACATTGAACAGATGTTAGGAGGTTGTGCAGGATTATGAGCACTCTGAGACTGCACAGTGAGAATCACCAAATGGGCCAGTATATCAACCTTGAAAATACTTTTCAGAAACTCAGTCAAAACAATCGGTACTTATTCCTTACTTGGAACCACATTGATTTTAGGTCTAGCCAGTCTCACCAACTCAGCAGTTCCCCATGTCACTAGGCTCAAGGGATGCCAGGCAGTACTAGTGACTATGAGAAGAGGAGGCCATAAAGGAACTGAGAAAGAGAAGTGGCAAGTCTGTGTGTGCACATTCCATGGAATGCAGGGCTCAAATGATGCAGCAGCTCCGTCATCATTGTGGCCAGTGAGTGTGGCCTATGAGTGAGATTGTTTCAAAGCACCAATGGAAAGATTACTCAGGGCACAAGTCTAACTGACACTGTCACAGCAGTGTCACTGACACCTGTATCACCAACACCTGTATCTCAATGCCAACCCCGCTGCCCTGTTATAATTTTGCCTACTTCCAAGATTTGCTTAGCCAGAGAACATAAAATGTCCTCTAGTTCAATGCAATTCTCATTTATTTAAGATGATGCCTGTTCAGCTAGTTTTTAATTATATTTTTAGAAATCAGCAAAATATAGAGAAAATGTTTCTTGAATAAATAACAGATAATTCATTTTAATTCTGACTTCTTGGTCACTTAATAGTTCAGTGAAGAATCTCCAAGCCTACATTTTTTTGATGGGTCAATTAAAAATCTTTTGAAACCCCCAGAGCCTCGAGCCCCTGGATTTATCTCAGTGGCATATTCTGTACATCTGACGGGGGCATCCCTGACCAGGAGTTTCATCTGAATTCAATAGCACCATGTTTTCATCTGCTCAGCCAGTGTTAGCATATGTCATCTCTTCTGAGATAGCTTGGATGTGACCCACCCATCACCTGAGTGCCAGGGGTTTAGCATGAAGGCAAGGAGCCTCATGTCTTAGTTGCTGCCTAGTATCACCACTTCTAGTGATACACTCCTGCCATAAGGTCTGTGCGTGCGTGCCTGTGTATGTACGTGTGTGCACATGTGCATGTATGCGTGTGCACAGATACATGCAATTAGGAAACATCACATGAATAATGACTTATCCAAATCTGCATCAGAAAGTACAATTTTGATAAGAGCCATAATCATTCACCCACTTTTAGGACAGATGTCTATTCACTGCTAAGCACATCCTGACATTGCAATTGAGACTCCAGAGACGTGAAATCGAGGCCCCACAGACCTCCTTCTGTGAATGTCATACACCATTAGGATTTTGTTTATAAGAGATACAGGCAGAAAACTGACATCTATTGTGTGGCTTCTGTTTACCTGAAAATGAAAACTTCCTTCAGGGATACAATGATTGAAAATTTAAATGTGTTTTCATCTGAAATGACGGGGGAGTGGGGGAGGGGGCAAGCCTGGTTTACTGGCCTAGGAACAGCCGACCCTGACATGGCTAGGAATCTGTCAGCCCAGATCACAAATACTTTTGAATCAAGAGTAAGTTGTTCAAAAGTTCAAATACTTTTGAATCAAGAGTAAGTTCTTAAGAGAACTGAAAATAATGAACAGAACCATGGACTTTGCTGCCTAACCTCATTTTAGAGGTTATGAAATTTGTATGTTTCTTAGGTTAGGAGTTTATGGAGGCCAACATTTTTTTAGTGTCACTTTAAAATACAAATGTGAGACTTACAGCACATCACATCACTTGTTTTCTCTCTGTATATTAATTCTATAGTGGACATGATGACACCTGTCTACCCATTGTCAGCAGGTCTCAAGGGAATCAAGTGAGGATATATCTTCTCATACCCTGGTCTTGTACCGCCAGGACTCTCTGATTGCTGAGTCTTGGAGTGTGTAGAGCCACCAGATAAACATGGCCACTGGCATGACTGATCAGTGGCAATTTTGGGGACGCCTGGGTGGCTCAGTGGTTGAGCATCTACTTCTGGCTCAGTTCATGATCCCGGGGTCCTGGGATCGAGTCCGGCATCGGGCCCCCCACAGGGAACCTGCTCCTCCATCTGCCTGTCTCTGCCTTTCTGTGTCTCTCATGAATGAATGAATAAATAAATAATAATTTTAAAATGATATTTTTATATTAACAAACATATGTTTTGAAATCGAATTTAATGTTATACACAACTACTTAAGGCAAAGTTTTAGACTTTCAACAATTATTGCAATTACAGGAGGCAATGGAAATTCTATTCTTTGTTTCTGCCACCCCGAGGTCAACTACCATAAGGTTATGTTGACATGGGGTTATGTGACATTTATGTATCTGTTAGCACTTGGAAAAATCGTGAGACACAATGGCAATAAGAATTGTTTTTGTCATGAAGCTTATTCACATGTGGTTCATAACTCAAAATCATTAGGAAACTTGCCTCTTCCTCATCCCTGCCCCTTTTTCCTCTTTATACTGTACTCCCTCCCCCCCACCCCAGTCTCACTTCTGCAAGGCACCTGTTACCTGGGCCATCTGCGTTTGTCATAACTGTCCTCCCAGATATGCTCTCTTTGGAAAGCATTCCAGACTCCTATTTTATTCAGAAACCCTCCAGGACTTACTTGTTGGTAGCTCCCTTCCCCATAGGAATGCCCATTGCTTTCCAAAGACAATAGGAAGGAACTTATCTGGTTTTCTGCATTGGCTGATGCTCATAAGTTTATGTCTTACCTCAGGTGTAATACACTTGAATTTTAGAAATTTTGCTGGCATGGATGAAAAAGATGGTTCCCTGTGGTTACCTATGAGAGTGACCACTTTAGAAAGTTAGGTCTTCTCTGTAGGCATAAGGTCAGTATTTGCAAAGCTCTAGACCTCAGATCCTCAAACCCACGTTTCTATAAAGTGTCTATGGGTAGGTTACCATAAAAATGATACTTTATGGTAACTCCATAAAGCTCCATAAAGCTCCAAAGCTGAGAAATCATTCTTTGGAGAAATCATTCTTACCTGGTACCAGGTCACCTCTGGACTTTGTGCATCACTTTGGCAGTTGAGGCTAGGGCAATTAATTTTGGCAATGCTACCAAAAAGAAGGTATTGCTGTGATACAGAGTTATTTGGTATACAGGATAGATTTGTCTTAGGCTTAACTTCTAAGATGGTCTTGATACAACAGGCCTCATCCTGAGGGGTCCTAGGAGAGTTAACAAAGGCCTATGAACATAGATGTTATATCCAGGTAATACAGGGCTTGGGAATGTTTTCGTATAAGAATGCATTTGGGACGTACCGGATCCTAGGTCTACAGATATATGACCCAGCATTACTTATTCCTGCGGTCAGAAAGCATAGGTTGCTCTTGTCCTGGGTGATGTGAGGAAAGTTGTTAGTTATTTCCCCTAATGAATCGCCATTTTGAGGTTGTAGGTACCACTGGACATCAGATAGGTCCTCATGACCACTGCAGGGCAAGTTTTCAGAGCCTTGGGTTGGTAAGACTTGACTTCTGTGGTACAAATGGGATTTCTGTAACTCTGTTAGGTCACAAAATAGAACAAACTCCTCACTCCTTGAAGAATATTCCCAGAGCAGTTTTTTGGTGAGGCAATCTGAAAACCACAAGGAACAAAGAGAAAGGGAGGCGCGTTAGAAGACAAATCTCTCTCTTGGCAGTGAGTTTGTGTATATGACATCTAAAGCACAAGCAACCAAATAAAAAATATAAGCAAGTATTGGGTGCCTGGGTGGCTCAGTCAGTTAAGCGTCCACCTTCAGCTCAGGTCATGATCTCAGGGTCCTCTTTCTCTCTCTCTCAAATAAATAAAATCTCAGAAAAAATAAACAAGCTGAACTACATCAAACTAAAAAGCTTATGCACAGCATAAGAAATGATCAACAGGGGGATCTCTGGGTGGCTCAGTGGTTTAGTGCCTGCCTTCAGCCTAGGGCGTGATCCTAGATCCCGGGATCGAGTTCCATATCAGACTCCCTGCATGGAGCCTGCTTCTCCCTCTGCCTGTGTCTCTGCCTCTCTCTCCTTCTCTCTCTCTCTCTCTCTGTCTCTCTTTTTCTCTGTCTCTCATGAATAAATAAATAAAATATTTTAAAAAAAGAAATGATCAACAAAATGAAAAGATAACCTATAGAATGGGAAAAAGTAAGCAAACCATGTATCTAATAAAATATGCCTGATTAACATCCAAATATAAAAAGAATACATGCAACTCAAAAGCAAAACCAAAAAAAAAAAAAAGAACAAACAAACCCCCAAATAGCCACTTATAAATGGACAATGAACCTGAATAAGCATTTTCCAAAGAACATATATAATTGACCAAGAGGTACATGAAAACATGCTCAACATCACTAGTCATTAGGGGACTGTAAATCAAAACCACAGTAAAATATCACCTCCTACCTGGTAGGTTGGCTTATCAACAAAAAGATAAGAGATAAGAAATGCTGGCAAGGGGGCGAAGAAAAGGAAACCCTTGCGTACTGTCGGGATGTATTACACACACACACACACACACACACACACACACACATGAATATTATTTAGTGGTAAAAAAAAAAAGGTAGAAATCCTGCCTTTTTCAACAACATAGATGGATCTTGGGGGCATTATGCTAAATGAAATACGCCAGAGAGACCAACACCAGATGATGTCACTTACACGTAGTCTCAAAACAAAACAAAACAAAAATCAAACTTATAAATAAAAGAGATCAGATTTGTGGTTACCCGAGGCTGCATGAGAAGTGGGGGAATTGGATGAAATGGTCAAAAGGCACACATTTCCAGTAATAAGATACATAAGTAAGGGGAATATACTGGAGAACACAGTGACTATAGTTAACGCTGCTGTATGGTTGATCTGAAAATTAAAAAAATGCGCTCTAAGGATTCTCATCACAACTAACGAACAAGGAAGTTTCTTTTTTTCTTTTTTGGTAGCTACATGAGATCATGGATATTAACTAAACTCATTGTGCTAATCATTTCACTATATGCATAAGTCATTTTGCTATCAAATTTGTGCAGTGCTGTATGTCACTTATATGTCAACAAAACTGGAGGAAATAAAGATCAAACTCTAACCTATGTTTATAAAGAGTATATGATTTAATGAGGAATTAAGCTCCCTTGTCTGTCTTCTTCACTGCTTCCATTTAGAAGGTCAGGCTCTAATGCCCTCCCAGTGGACTTGAGCTGGCCAGTAGCCGCAGCACTTAACTATTAAAGACGACTGAACCACTCCTCATTCCTCTTCAACTGCTCCCATTGAACACCTACTACCATAACTGGGCTCCTTATTGACGCTTGGTATCAGCTGAAAGCTGTTCACCCCAGTCATTTCTGTCTTCCTGCACCCATCTCAACAGCAGAAAGGAAATGCTCTGCATTAATAGGTCAAGCTGCTGATATATCAGACTATCTGTCACTTCAAATCTTGACTTTAAGACTCACAGTGAACATGATAAGCGAAAACCCTACCTGAAGTAGTCATTCCTTTAATTCTCTCTCCTGTGACAAGCCAAAGAAAAATCCAGCCCAAAGAAAGCATCATTCTCCCTGGGTCCTGTCATCACTTCAGTGAGTCTGTTGCATTGCCAGGCTGTGGTACCTCGCGTTTCAGAGCTCCTCCCTGAGAATCATCTTCATTTCTGTAAGTCAAGAAATGAGAAATGAAGAAATCAGAACCAGTGACCAAAATGCAAGTCGCACAGGAAGCTTTGAAAGGGGCGGGTCCTACCCAAATGCCCACAATGGTTTGTAGCAGTCTCTTTGCATGTGTCATTTCTTATACGTCTGAAGGAGGGAGAGTATCGCAAGCTCACAGGAAACACTTGGACCTCTGCTCCATACCATACGTTCTTTTGGTGCCCTTTCTTCATAGAATTCTTCTTCTTCTTCTTTTTTCTTTTTTTTTTTTTATGTTATCACCTAGAATGTGTATTTCTATGAGTCATTTGGAAACAGTTAAATGAAACTTTTCCTGAAAAGGTGACCCACGTTAATTAAAAATGTCAGGATTCCACAGTTATGGAAGCCTCTGCTATGGCTCATATGTGTACAGCTTGAGAATGTCCACGTGTCTATCTTATTTACTAATTATTTGTGTTAACTGTTAGAGAATAGACACTCTGTTCCCCAAATAAGAAAGGAAAAGTTGTCACTGTCTTACTGTGTGTATCACTCTTCAGCTTGGTTGTAGGAATAAAGAATTTTACTTAAAAATCTGCCCTAAAACACTCTCATACTGGCCTAGGCTTTTTAAAGTTAAGATGGGATGGGGTTCGGAGGGGGTAAACAATCCTCTGAAATAGAAAAAGTGAGGGACAGGATCACCTGAGGAGAGGGAATGAGAACCTGATCTGTGTTCATGGTACTTTTGTCTCTCTTATCAATAGGGTGGCCAGTGGAATTTTCAAGCCATTTATAAAAGATGAGAGATAAGGACATTGGGTGGGTGTCTTCATCCATTTGGGCTGCTTTACCAGAATACCACACAGTGGGTGGCTTATGCACAACGGAAATGTATTGCTCACAGTTCTGGAGGCTGGGAAGTCCAAGATCAAGTCACTAGCATGGTTGTAATCTGCTGAAGGCCCTGTATCTAGTGCATAGTGCCTTTTTACTGTGTCTTCATGTGGTAAAAGTCACTAAAGATCTCTCTGGTGTCTCTATTTTATAAAAACACTAATCTTATTCATGAAGACTCTACCCTTATGACCTAAGCAACTTTCCAAAGGTCCCACCTCCTAATACCATCATCATTGTGTCTTTGGAGGTTAGAATTGCAACATATGAATTTGGGAGTGAACACATTCAATCCAGAATAGTGTGTAATGGGTGGTGAGATGTAGCCTAATTGAGGAGAGAGAGGCAGAGTATATAGGCAGAGGGAGAAGCAGGTTCCATGCAGAGAGCCTGATGTGCGACTCGATTCCAGAACTCCAGGATCACACCCTGGGCCAAAGGCAGGCATTAAACCGCTTAGCCACCCGTGTATAATGGGGTGAGACAAAACAAATAGTAGAGTCCCTGTCCTCAAGCATCTGTCACAATGTGAAGAACAATGTAAAATAAAAAAAAATTGAAATAGTAAGAAAGACTTTTATTCAAGAATATTTCAATAGAGGAGAGAAATCAGGCTCAATTCAAAATTCAAGAAGAATAGGGGAGGATATAACCAAGGAGCAAGGTAGGCAGTCAGGAGCTAGAAAATTAACTAAGGAGGCGTCGAGTGTAGAGGTATTCTTACGAAATTGACCCAACAGAGTTCTTGTGCAAGGTGTGTCAGGGGCTTAGACATCAAAGGTGGGAGGATGGCTTAGCAGGACACTTTTCCTAAGAATGGACTGGGCAGACCAGACATATGACTGAGGCTGTGTTCAAGGCCTAGTGGAGGAGAGGTCTCAGAGAGCCTGACCAAAATTTGGTCATGAAAAGAGTCTTTGTCAACACAAACATGCAAATAAACAATTATAGGAGAATGCAAGACAGAAACCAATATGGTGGTGACAGAAAAGAAAAAATAAAGAGGGAAGGAGGGAGGAAAAGAAAGAAAAAGAAGAAAGAAAGAAAAGAAAGAAAGAAAGAAAGAAGAAAGAGAAAGAAAGAAAGAAAGAAAGAAAGAAAGAAAGAAAGAAAGAAAGAAAGAAAGAAGCAAAGAAAAGAAAGAGGGAGGGAGGGAGGGAAGGAAAGGAAAAAAGTTACACGAAATGTCCACTGGCCCTTTAGAAACATTCACACAATACCCGTGTTCTTTAGGAAGCTGACAAAATCAATCTCCCTCTCTTTCCACATCTAACCAGCCAATTTCCTCCCCTCACCCCTCCTTGTCTTCGCTGGATATTCCTGTGACCACTGCCTCCACCTTCAACTTTCCTAGGTCCTTTCTTTCCAGGTTCCTCTATCTTTTCTTAGAAATAAAATACTGGGAAAAAAAAGAAATAAAATACTGGGCTTTCCTCATCTTATGAAATTCTTCATTTCTGACCAGAATACACAGAATACACACACACACACACACACACACACACACACACACACACACACCATGTCTCCAACATCTTCAGATGCAGGAGGAAGAAATTTTAATATTTATAATTTTTTATTTATAATTAATGTTTATCTAACAGAAACATTGAACTTAAAGTGCCTTTGGAGATCCAGCTGGAGCACCACAAAGGCAGCCGGGAGGAACTAAGAAATGCTTCTGGGGGCACAGCAGCAGGGGAAGAGTTCAAGCCAGGAGCCTCTGTAAGCCGCAAGGAGAGGGCAGACAGATTTCCCTGAAGAACACCAGCCTGGAGAGGGTGGGTCAGAGCCAAGGCTGAAATGAAAAAGGATAAACCCAAAAGGAAGAAGAGAAACAGAGCATGGAGACCATCTTGATCCTAAGCACAGAGAAAGTCTGGAGGAAAAATGGGATGTCAGTGTCAGGAGCTACAGAGTTGGCATGATAAGGACGAAGAAGTGTCCTCTAGATTTGGCTCCAATAGATCAATCAGTTTGTGCAGGGAGGCCGGGGTGAGCTGATGGAGAGAAGCACAAGAAAAGGTAGTAGCAGAAGGAATGTGAGAGGTGAGGACAAGCCATGTAGTCCACAGTCTACACTGTGCAGGGAAGCCAGACGTGGTGTCTGAGCATTTGTTGACAATGACAGAGCTTGGACACCATTTGGCTGTGAGCGGAATGAGTGTGCAGGCTAGTGGGCCAGGTACAAGCGAGAGGAAGGAAGTAGGAAGAGATGGAACCCCTTGGACAGGAGGCTTCAGAGCCGTGCAGGGTGGAGGATCCATCCAGACCAGTTTGCCCAGGTGGGGACCAGAGTACTGGCTGCTGACCTGTTGAGAGGACAGCGTGCGCAGGGGAGGAGAGGCTTCATGGGATGGTGGAGCATCTTGAAGAGAGCCAGGCACGGAGACTAGAGTCACTGCATTGTTTATCCCCGTTGGTGGCTCTTCTTAGAAGAACTGTGGTCAAGGAACAAGGCAGAATCAGCAATTGCCTTTTAAGATGTGGTCTCCCCTTCACCTTTCTTTCCTTTAACTCAAAGAATAATCTCCCCATCTCCAGCCTCTAGCTGCCTCTAGGCATTTTCCCAAAAAGTGAACCTGAGAATGCCATTTCCATGCTGCAGTCATCATCAGCCGCACTTGAGAAAACAAATCCGTTCCAGGGACCACTGGGTGGCTCAGTCGGTTAAACGCTGGACTCTTGATTTCAGCTCACGTCATGATCTCAGGGTCTTGGGATCAAGCCCTGCATCAGGCTGTAAGCTCAGTGGGGAGTCTGTTGGAGGATTTTTCTCTCTCTCCCTCTGCCCCTCCCCCTGTTCATCACACACACTCTTGCGCTCTCTCTAAAATAAATAAATCAAAAAAAAAAAAAAAGGAATCCATTCCAACCACACTTTGCAAAACCCTGTGGGACTTGATTTGGCTCTCTCATGTCTTATTTTGCATTTTGTCTCCAGAGAGACCTTGTCTGGCCATTGGCATAATGAATTCCATCCTTCCCTCCTCACCACTGCACCAGCCAGCAACCATCTCTTGTTACTTATTTTATATTTTTATTTTTATTTTCACATGGTCCATGTTAGCTTTATACCTCATTGTCTGGGAACTACAGAAAATCCAGTGTGTGTGCCTATTCTCACTCACTTGATCTTATGGTCAAGTGAAGGCAAACAGAATTTGGCAAATATCTAGATTCCTGCTACTCTTAGCCAATTCCACAAAATGCTCAAGTCACTATAGTTTTATTTGATAACAATGATGTTTTTATAAAGTGAAGACTGCATAAATAGAGATATGTAAATTTTCTTGAAAAAGATTTCATGAAAAGGAATTATTTGAGAAATTCACTTTGAAAATTATTTAAGCTCTTTTCTCAACTTATATTTTCTGGTTAGGAAATCTAGTGAAAACAATGTACTAATTCTTACATTTATTTCCTGTTCTTAAGACATAAAAAAAGAGGAAGGAACTTTGGCTCCTTATTTCAGTAACTGTCAGCTTCTATATCCAAAGAACACAGGAGAATATTACTTTTCAAAGAGTTCTACTATATTTCTCTTCCTAGCCAGAGAAATCCCTAGAGAAGACAAAACAACCATTTAACTCACACATATTTGGGAATAATGAGTTATGCCTAGAGAAAAAAAAGAAAACATTTGTTATTTTGCAAATGACCATTATCATTGCCAAATCTATGGTTATACAGAGAAAAATCAAATTAATTATCTGTATCAGTAGAAGTAAATGTCCTGAAGATGAAGCATCTAAAACTCTTCTCTGACCAACCACCTCAACTAGATAAGGTTTTGTGGTTAGACTTAGTTGAAAGAATGAGTAAGCCTGTTTCCTTTACAGGAATTTCCTGTAAAGAATATTAGCACTCAATTTCTCAACTTTTTTTTTTCTCTTTCATCTTATAAAACTAACCTTTGAAAGTGTAACCCCTATGATAAAGGCTTAAGCCTCTCTTAAGACTACTTTTAACTCTGGAAGAGGAAAAAAATCACTCTCCCACACTGTTTATCTAAGGCAACAATTTATTGACAAAGAGGGAAATAAACTTAAAGTCTAATTTCACCAAGGTTTCTTGGTACTATTTATTAATAGAGAAAGCTTCAAAA